AGAGCGGTTACTTTCTACACAGGGTTGTACAATCTCCTCCTCTGAGCAGATGTAGTGCCTTGAACACAGCATAGAACAGCACACTTCTGCCAAGTGCCTGGAGCGTTTCCAGAGCAGCAGAAGAATGGAGAGGCAGGGCTGTACTTAATGTGCTTCACAAGATACGCTTTAGTCTCCTTGACTTACATGTCCGATAGTATTTTTTCTTTCTCATTATAATGTTGTCTCTGTTAAGTGAACGTTTTCCTACCTCCTTCCTGGACAACCTCTTCTAGAATCATAGATTTTTTGGGGGGTTGTTGGGCATGTTTTGGTTTCTTGTTTTTGGGGGTTTGTTTGTTTTGGTAGGTGGGGGGTTTTTGTTGGGTTGGTTTTTGGTTCTGCAGTTGTTTTTTGGACCTGAAATACCTTCCCAGATCTCAAATATTTAACATTTTCAGTTTCTTTCTTTTTCACACTTGGTGTTCTTCTGCTGCCAGTCATCCATCTATATGGTGTGTGCTTGGAAGATCTTAACAAAAAGCATACATTAAGTATTCAAATTTGCCATCCCTAAAAGTCAGTTTTCAAGTAAGGCAGTGAAATCTTTTGGAGGAGTATACTGCAGGGAAAGCTTGATATGTGTTTTTGCTGAAGTTTTCTTACTGATTTTTTTTTTTATTATTATTTCTTTGTTCTGAGATTCACTACAGGATCTGCACAAATAAACTGCCCCGATCTTTGCAATTGTAGAAAAGAAATGCAGTTGTAGCAAGCATTCTGATTGTTTTTGTATCAGCTTATTAAACCAGTCGCTCTACGTACTTGAAATTACTTTTGCATATACTTATACTTTTGCATATATTCTATCACTTTCATCAGTGATAGTTTCTCAAATTAACTTGGGGGGGAAATTATGGACATCCATACATTCAGTCTACTTGATTTTTATGGTTACCCTTAATAAATAAGTCTTACCTCAGTGTTTGACAGTCTGGTTGGCTCATCTTTTCATTGAGTCAAGATACTGACAATGAAACTTCTTATAAAGTTCTCACAAAAGACTGTGGTAAAATCAGCCTGTGTTGTTGAGTTTTATTGTCAAGATTTACATTAACAACTGAAGTCCTTATTTTGTTTGCTGCTGCTTTAGTTACTTGGGTAACTTGGAGAGTCTTTGGGCTGCTGGATGCCCAGTGTTTAGCCATGAGATGTTCTTGTCTTAGCAGTTACGTGCCTAAGAAAACTCCCTCCCCTGCCACCCACACCCACCCAGGTATTTGAAACATTTCAGAAGCTTGTTGCTTAATCTTCTCCTCATATGCTTGTTGAATTGAGCTCACCAGAGCTTGTTACAGAAAGCTAAGGCCTGGGTGGAGGAGGAGATGCTGCACCAGAGATTGTCTTCCTTCCCCTGGGAGTAAGTGTAGTGGGCTAAGTGGTTTGAGGCAGCCAGGAGTTTTGGTCTTTCTTTTTGGTGCTGGAATACCATGAGTTCTCTATATTTACTCTTTGTGTCCTTAATTTAAGTAGTAGGTGAGCATGACTTCTTCTGCAGAAGCTGTAAAATGTGAGAAATTAAAATGTAATGACAGACCAAGTCTTTTTCCCCAATTTGCATTGCCTTTTTGAATTAAAATGGCAAAGCTGTATATGTCATTCCTGGTTTCTAGTGTTTATTTGCTGGGTTGTAAGCAATGGTACATTTCATGGCACACAGCTATTGGGTATGTCCTGAAGTTTTAACTATTTTAACCTTGATTTTTATTATATGTAATAGCAGCTTTTTAGTAAGAAGGTGAATGTTACTATATTATCCAGCTTGGGCCTGCTGTAGCAGTTTACTAAATGTTGGAGTCATGCTAACTTCTATATTTTTGTATGTGTTTACATATTTTAGCAACACTAGAAGGTTTATGCCAATATTTTGGGGTTTGTTATACCTGCAGATTTCGTACCACTAGTAGTTCACTATTAGGATGATGTTCTAGAGATGGTGGATTATTTGTATTACGAATCATCTGTTTCTTTTTGAAGCCAAGACTCTGTAGGGAATCCAAATAGCTGATTTCAGGCCACTCAAAAACAGCTTTCAGAATGGTCAGCCAGGCATAGATACTTTCCATTTAATGCACTATTATTGAAGCACGCTGCAGGGCCCAACAGCTCACACCAGCTTCTGAGGGTAAAGCAAATTAAAGAGAATTATTGATGCACTGCCAAATGTTTGATGCTTAATAACAAAACCATCATTCTGTCTGCTCTTATAGCCAATATAAAGATGTCTTTCTGGAAAGTGATCAGCCCCAATGTGATTAAATACAAAATCTAAATATTAACACTATATTGAGCCTGTGTATGTGTTGTATTTTACACCAGTTTATAATATTGTGGAAGATAATTATAACTGAAATGTATAAGTTAAGTCATCAGCCTGTTTTTAAGCTGGTGTGGACATACACTAAAGGTAAATCTGATGAAGCAGGTACTCTTTAGTTTCCAAGACCTCATCTCTTTATAACTTAGAAATATCTAAGTTCCACTGCATTGTTTGCTGTTAAAATCTTTGATGGTCTTGGTGTGTTCGATTTAGTAATTCACTTACCTTGAAAATTCTGCACCTCTATTCTAAGTGTAATACCTAGTAAAAGTGACCTTCCATATAAAATTATAGATCTTTCTGCATATACTTTAGTAGGAAGGCTTTGTTTTGGTGGTATCGGGTTTTTTTTGCTTGCTTGTGGGTTTTTTTTCTGTTGTTTTTTGTTGTTTTTTTTTTTTAACCTTTGTGTTAAGCAGCAATGTTGGAAACTCACTATGGATTTCCTATGTTTCTTTTCTCTGTGAGTGAATATTGCAATATAGAAGAACTCGTGTTTCTGGAGGACAGTTTGTATTTTGAACAGTTTCTATGAATGCAATATTAGGACTTGTGGTACAGAATTCTTATAAATTAAAGTATATATTGCAGCTTTAATTCTACTGCACCATTATTTCCTTTGGTTTCCAAGTTAAAAAAACAACAGCTGGTTTGAATAAATCTTTGTGCTTCCAAACAGAGAACGATTTCTCACTGGTGGGGTGTTTGTAGAGGTGCTTTGCTAGAGAGACAGTTGAGGGAATTACAGTTCTTTCTTTCAAAACATCCATGAGCGGTACTCTCATTCCTAACTGTGAGCTGCTGATTTCTCTGCGTCTGGCGATTCCTGTAATGTGTGCTAAATGTTAGTCTTCAGAGAGTTAACTTAGATTGTATTGCTACTGTGCCTTTGGTAAGCAAAATAACTTGGTACTATAACAAATTTGGAGGTTCATAAATGAACTATAAATGAAACTGGAAACAAGCAGGAGGATTTCATTCCATCCCTGCCACTTCGCCTGGAAAAAAGA